GAGTATTATAATTAATGCTGTTCCCTATCTGGAGAGAGAAAATAGCTTTTTAGAATTATGGTAACAAATCTAATAAATTAATAGTATTTACTATATATTAAATAGATAGGAGAGGAGAGCTGTGCAGGACAGTGCATACCTGTTCAATGTGACCATGGAAATGATGAAGAAGTCCAAAAGTTGTTTGATAAAGTTAGCAAAGAACAAAATGGACGCCTGGATATCCTTGTAAACAATGCGTACAATGGTGTGAAGGTACACAGTCTGCAATTATATGCTCTGCTTCATCAAAGCTTCCAAGTATTTTTGTGTTGGACAAGAAGGGGGAAGCGGTCAAAGAGTGAGACTGGGGAGAGACGCGACTATGGGCCTGTGAGGCTTGCGCGCTTTATGCGAAAATCTCACGCGGGCGCATTAAAAAACGAATTTTGAGGGAAAAAAGGAATTTAATTCCAGCCTACTTGCTATCGTGCTGCACATCAGGGATGTCTTAAAAGCATAGTTAGAGGACTGCCCACATGAAGGCCTGCAAAACATTAGCCTGTGTTGTAGGTGTCAAGAGGGGAGGGGTAGAGGGGAAAAAAGGGGAGAGAGGATGTAAAAATCGAAGATGAAAACAACAAGTTCTTAGGTTATGTATGGGGAGCTTCCTGACTCTACACAATCCTTTGTGTTTTGCTCACAAATTGCGACAGAGTAAATCAAAAGAGAGGACCAAAGCGCTTTGAAACCATGGTGCTTTTTTCGCTATGCTGAAAGCTATTGTGAAAGTTCCTTTAACTTGCACTCTCGTCATTTTAAGGTCCCGAACACGCTTATCTGTTTTTGTCTAAAAACAGATTGTTTTTCTCCGGTTTGGCCTACTGTCCACAAGTACCGTGCCAGTGAAAACGGTCACCGAAAAAGCATCTTTTGAAAAGCGCTCTCCAGAGTGTTGAAAACGCCGTCTTTTTGTACTCGTGTCACTGTGGATTGATGAAAACGAAGGTTTTTGAAAACGATGACGTCACGGGCTCAGATGCCAGTAAATGCGCATGCTCCCATCAAGTATGGTACCGTTTGCAGTCACTATTGCTTTTTCGTATGGACGGGCTAAAGTGATTCAAAACTGCAACGTGTGGACGCCGATTTTTTGAAAAAGGAGGCAAAACGGATACGTGCGGACGGGACCTAAGAGGAAAGCCCTTCTTACAATCATGTTAACTTAGAAAAAAGGCACAGTACGAAATGATTTAAAGCATTTAAACTAACTAAACGTACACTTTACCCAGGAGCATTCAACATAATATATTCATCTGTACTTTATATATTATTATTATTCATTCGAAGTATTTCCCCGATTCTGATTGGCTAAAAGCACACGTTTAATTCACCATACCCAGTTACTGATGACCAAATTTGGAAGAATTTTGTGTTTAACGAGGAAATGACGTCAAAAATGCAGCGTTGGTACAGGTTAAGGCACCGTTAACCGAGAAGACCTGAGGACGAGGTTGAGTTGTTTTGGTTGTGGAAACGAAAATGGCGGTCATTTCACTCGTTTCAAGAGTAAGAGTTAAAAACAGTAGTTAAAAACATGGCAAAACAGAAAGAAGATAACTCGAAGGGCGACATCTGCTATTTGGAGAATATTTGCGGAGCTGGACAAACCTAAACGTGCACTATCGAAGATGAACTGAACATCGATGGATCGATAGAGGTAAGCATGTTTTAGCCATGTTTTTACACTAGGAATTATTTTGAATGAATAATAAAACAATTATTGAATTTGGCTTTCGTATCATATGAAGAATTATGGAGATCTCGGAGGGTGTTATCCGCCTCGGCCTACGGCCTTGACGGATAACACCCTCCTCGATCTCCATAATTCTTCATAAGATACTCAACCTCATTTATTAATTGTTAAATAATACTTAAATTAGCTGCAGCATAAATTACACTTACATTGATCGTATAAATATTCATGCAATAATTGTTTGTTAATTTCAAATTTTTGTGTTAATTGCTTTTAAGGCAATAATTGAAAATTCTGGAGAACCATTTTATGAGCAGGTGAGAGCGCCTAGTTCCATTTACCAATTTGTTGAAGAATTCTGCGTTATAAAAAGTAGCCATCTTATCTCTTGAGAGGCACGTGATTACCTTGCTTGTCAGACTTGCAATGTCACGTCCTACGTACATGCAAGCCTATGTAAAGTGGACTTTGCCGTGTTTTGCTGTTTTTGTTTCTCGTCTTCGGAGAAAAAAGACGTAATTTTTGAAGAGAGTCGAGGTAAGTCTATACTTTTCCTTTTCTAGCTTCTTACGAGCGTTACTGAGTATACATGATATTTGAGTAAAAAGCAAAATTACCCGTCTTGAAAACAGCGTTTACTTTAAAAGCTCAGAATTCAAAATAGGCTTAAGTGTACTTTTTATTTTTTCCTATGATCGATCAGCATCGCGCAACGATCTCCGAAAATAAAGTTAGTGATTTCGCCGGAAATCGACTGTTCCTAAAGCTACACTAGAGGTCGTATTTCAAGACCGCTCCCGACCTTCGGCTGTTTAGTTATATCCAGCGAGGATTTTTTGGTTCTACAGATCTATAGCTGCTCTCCTTATGTTCGCCAAAAATTGTTTCACCCCGAGATTTCTGACCTGTAAAACTGACATTCATTTGCGAATGATCATAGGTTGATTCATGCATTTCATGCATGCATGGACGGTGTATTTTAGACGAAGCTAAAGATACAAAGGTGGAATAAATGCCGGGGACATCACGCGACAAAATTAAAAACGGCCTTGTGATGAAGCTGTGTCCCGATTAATACCGTTGTCTAGACAAAATCGCGAAATTCAGTACTAGCGAAATTAATTACCAGTAAGGGAGGTTTAATGACAAGAAAGGGGTATTAAAGGCTAAAGGAAAGTCAGAAGCTATACTGCATCCTCCAGAAGAGGGAGTGGGGGAGGGGGGGCAAGAAAAAGAAAAAAATCCTCTGTCGGAAGTAATATTAGATGAGCAAATAGTGTGTGTTATTTATAAGCTTGAACGATCGTAAATGTAGTAGCCAAACGTCTTGAGTCGGTTTAACGACTAGTTGTTGTTAAGCCTTAATTCCTTTACTTGTAATGATAATTTAAAAGCCTTAATAGTGGTAAGTTTATCCTGTTGTATTCAGGGTAAACCGTATTTAGTAATAATCTTCCATGCATTGTTATGCAATAGATCACCAAGTTGCACCATGACATCAGAACTCCCTTCGTTGTCTGGAAAAGTGTGCATTGTGACAGGAGCATCTCGGGGTATCGGTAAAGGTATTGCCTTGATATTGGCCAAAGCTGGAGCCACTGTGTATATTACAGGTCAGTTTGGCTATCAGAAAATCGTCTTATGGTTTACTATTTTAGGCACATTTTTGTTTAGTATTCTACTTCCTTAATCCTTTTAAGTGATAAAATTACTCTAACTTATATTTGGTTACAGGCAGGACTCTTGATGCCACAGAAGGAAAACCTCCAGGCACACTGCGGCAAACCGCAGAGGAGGTCAGATAATATTGCATTATACTTTAGTCACTTATAGTTAAGCTTATAATTTATTGGAGTATTATAATTAATGCTGTTCCCTATCTGGAGAGAGAAAATAGCTTTTTAGAATTATGGTAACAAATCTAATAAATTAATAGTATTTACTATATGTTGAATAGATAGGAGAGGAGAGCTGTGGAGGACAGTGCATACCTGTTCAATGTGACCATGGAAATGATGAAGAAGTCCAAAAGTTGTTTGATAAAGTTAGCAAAGAACAAAATGGACGCCTGGATATCCTTGTAAACAATGCGTACAATGGTGTGAAGGTACACAGTCTGCAATTATATGCTCTGCTTCATCAAAGCTTCCAAGTATTTTTGTGTTGGACAAGAAGGGGGAAGCGGTCAAAGAGTGAGACTGGGGAGAGACGCGACTATGGGCCTGTGAGGCTTGCGCGCTTCATGCGAAAATCTCACGCAGGCGCATTAAAAAAACGAATTTTGAGGAAAAACCGGATTTTATTGCAGTCTACTTGCTATAGTGCAGCACATCAGGGAAGGATTAAAAGCATAGCTAGCGGACTGCCCACATAAAGGCCGGCAAAACATTAGCCTGTGTTGTAGGTGTCAAGAGGGGAGGGGTAGAGAGGAAAAAAAGCGGAGAGAGGATGTAAAAATCAAAGATGAAAACAACAACTTCTTAGGTTATGTATCGGGAGCTTCCTGACTCTACACAATCCTTTGTGTTTTGCTCACAAATTGCGACAGAGAAAATCAACAGAGAGGACCAAAGCGCTTTGAAACCATGGTAGTTTATTCGCTCTGCTGAAAGCTACTGTGAAAGTTCCATTAACTTGCACTCTCGTAATTTTAAGATCCCGAACACGCATATCCGTTTTTGTCTAAAAACAGATTGTTTTTCTCCGGTTTGGCCTACTGTCCACACGTACCGTGCGAGTGAAAACGGTCACCGAAAACGCATCTTTTGAAAAGCGCTCTCCAGAGTGTTGAAAACGCCGTCTTGTTGTACTCGTGTCACTGTGGATTGATGAAAACGATGACGTCACGGGCTCAGATGCCAGTAAATGCGCATGCTCCCATCAAGTATGGTACCGTTTGCAGTCACTATTGCAGTCACTACTACCGTTTGCACTACACTAGCCCGTGTGGACGGGCTAAAGTGATTCAAAACTGCAACGTGTGGACGCCGATTTTTTTGAAAAAGGAGACAAAACGGATATGTGTGGACGGGACCTAAGTGGAAAGCCCTTCTTACAATCATGTTAACTTAGAAAAAAGGCACAGTACGAAATGATTTAAAGCATTTAAACTAACTGCACGTACACTTTACTCAGGAGCATTCAACATAATATAGTCATCTGTACTTTATATATTATTATTATTCATTCAAAGTATTTCCCCGATTCTGATTGGCTAAAAGCACACGTTTAATTCACCATAACCAGTTACTGATGGCCAAATTTGGAAGAATTTTGTGTTTAAGGAGGAAATGACGTCAAAAATGCAGCATTCGTCCAGGTTAAGGCACCGTTAACCGAGAAGACCTGAGGACGAGGTTGAGTTGTTTTGGTTGTGGAAACAAAAATGGCGGTCATTTCACTCGTTTCAAGAGTAAGAACTAAACGTAAAAATAGCTAAAAACATGGCAAGAACAGAAAGAAGACAACTCGAAGGGCGACATCTGCTATTTGGAGAATATTTGCGGAACTGGACAAACCTAAACGTGCACTATCGAAGATGAACTTAACATCGATGGATCGATGGAGGTAAGCATGTGTTAGCCATGTTTTTACACTAGGAATTATTTTGAATGAATAATAGAACAATTATTGAATTTGGCTTTCGTATCATATGAAGAATTATGGAGATCTCGGAGGGTGTTATCCGCCTCGGCCTACGGCCTCGACGGATAACACCCTCCTCGATCTCCATAATTCTTCATAAGATACTCAACCTCATTTATTAATTGATAAATAATACTTAAATTAGATGCAGCATAAATTACACTTACATTGATCGTATAAATATTCATGCAATAATTGTTTGTTAATTTCAAATTGTTGTGTTAATTGCTTTTAAGGCTATAATTGAAAATTCTGGAGAACCATTTTATGAGCAGGTGAGAGCGCCTAGTTCCATTTACCAATTTGTTGAAGAATTCTGCGTTATAAAAAGTAGCCATCTTATCTCTTGAGAGGCACGTGATTACCTTGCGTTATTATCATATACAATTTAACTGTTAGGGTTAAAATCTTCTTCTTAATCCATTCACCTCTGAACCGCCCATAACCACGAATGCGGATCCACGTTTATCATTTGCCTTGCTTTATCAGCATATACTTTTTAACTCTTAGGGATGATATATCTAACCTCCTGTACTTAACCCAGTGGGTCAATATCGAGAGTGGGGAGGGTGGTTGTGGTTGAAATATACACTCCAATCTTTGCCTCTCCTCCCAACTTTCTTGAATTTTCTGAATCCTCTCTTGTGCTTTGTCGTTTTTTAACGTTTAAGCAAACTTATAGACTTACTTTCTCTCGTGTTTTAGCCTTTACACACCTGGGATGACATGAACGATGTGGGGCTGAGGTAAGCAGCTTAAAAGTGGAGCTCTGAGTGCCCACTTTGTGCTCGCGAGCGGAACCCCATAACTAAGAAAATGTGTTAATCTATCCATTCGAGAAATTTTGGTAATCACGTGACCGTACATCCGTCCGACCGTCCGAGCCATTGGGAAGTCAAGGTTAAATGTCACATCCATGTTGTGGTCAATTGACAGATGTCAGAAAAAGGGTATCCGGCTACCAATATCACATAACCGTATTGCGGGCTCAGGTGTCGACCTTTGGAGGTTACGTTAAGTTCTCCGCTGACAAGTTACTAGTTTTCGATTGATCGCAGGCTCAACTTTAAGTGGATGTCTATTTGTTAAGAGGAGCTTCGCCTTAAGCCTTGGCTAAATTTATTTATTATACAAACAAGGAACCGGCTGTTTTGGCTCTAAATTGTGTTATCCTTGGTTCAAAAGACCTTTTTAGCTTGTATGTTTTGTTTTCCAAATTTCAGAGAAATGTTTCTTTCAATTGTGGTCTATCCATGTGCATGTAATTTATGAAAAGAAAAGAGGCTAATTTCCTTGAGTATATCACGTGGTCTGAATTAGGAAAATTAAAGTTACGACCCGAAAGGTCTATTCATACTATGATTTTTGCTCATCTCCCTCCTTCGCACCCGCTTGGGCCGGTGTCACTGCTCCCCGCCCTTACGACTTGTTTTTACTTATAGGAAAAAATGAACAAATGAAATACTTCTTGCTGCTTTAAGCGATTTTCTTTGGAGTTCTCCCATCCCTTTTTATAACACATCGCGTGCCAGTGAGGGTTTTCCCGTGAGATAAGACCCAACCTTTCCGGTAAGTGGTGCAGCGTATACAGTAATAACAAAAAGAGGCGCTCATTGGTCCGAGCAGACGAAACCACAAAATCATGGTAAAGTAACAACCTTTGCTTTAAAGGGCTATTCTTAGGTTTCGCAAATTACATTCATTTGAGCGTGGTAAAGTAGCTACACTCAAAAGAGTCCTCTCTACGAACGAAATAGTTTAATTCGGTTCAAGTCCAACTTTGACGTTTCAGCCCAAGTAAATTAAAAGAAAAATGTCTGTTGAAACCTGAAATGTTTAAGGCGGGTTATTATTGAAAATAGGTTAGACCGCGGTTTGAGAAACTCATTGGGCCTTTAAAACTGTTTCTAAGGTGATTTATAAAACAGCGCGCGTGCTTGCCCTATATAAGTCCTATTGAGCCACTATGAACAAAATCTTTATTTACGCACGCCCGTGCGCAAATAAGATGACGTGAGCATTTTTTTTTATTTGGCTGCAAAGTACAGTTGTCGTCTTTTAAGCTGCAGTGCAGTTTTCCTTCTCTTTAAAATATGGAAGAAACCAGCGAAGAACTGCCCAATTTTTGTATCGGCATTGACCTTTTAGGTCCTGATCCAACAAGCAGCAAAAATAAAGCCGAATTAAAAAAAACTCGCAAGTTGCGAGTTGCGCAAATTTGTCGGAAGACCAGCTGCAGCAAATTTTGGCCGAAAGACATTCACTGGGAACAGAACAGACACCAACTGGTCATTAACAACATTTTTGAAAGGGTAAAATTTCCGTTTTTATTGTTGTTTTTAAATTTGTTACGCACTTTTGTTATCTCCGGACAATCCGACTGAAGCAGGAAAATTTCTCTCGCAATAGCAACACAAATTACACAAGAAGACATAAATTTATTACTCACAAAAACAACTTCTGCCAGGTCTTCTCAAGAAGCCGTAATGACCAGCCAATGCTCGTAAATGAATATAAGTTTAAAGAAGGATGACAGTCGTCTTCGCTAAAAACATGTTTTCTGGATTTCTTCGAGCAAAACGTAAACATCTTTTCAGCAAATCCAAACCATACTCCACGACTTCTTACGAACATGTTAGTATTTTAACTTTAGGTGAACTTTAAGACTCTTTTACCTTTGTTTCTGCTTAGTTTCTATTGATCGTTAACGAATAAAGAAGCAAATTTTCTTTCTCAGTTTTACAGAAAGAACATTCTCATTCAAACTAGATTGTGGCGTGTTCGTAATCAGCCAATAGAACCGTTTGTTATTATGTAGCGCGTTACGAGAAATCTGCAGTAAATCAAAAAGCAAGCATTTTTGTCAGCTATGTTATAAAAGAATTTGCTCATGCTTTTAGCTGTGCGTATATCGAGTTATGGATGCACTTGGGAAGTTTGGAGAGCACTCCAGAGGCTAGAGTTGCACTCGGCTATCGCCTCGTGCAACTCTTACGCATCTTTCATGCTCTCCAAACTTCCCGCGTGTATCCATAACTCGATATACGAACGCTAAGCATGAACAAATTCTTAAATTCCAGTTAGGGGTTTTCACATGACGTCACCAAAATTCAAACTAAGAAACTATCGATTCTTCTGAGCTTCTACTTTCATGAGGTATTACAACACCTAAAAACCTTTTTTAACACAAATTTTTGGTTGCAAAGGGTTCTTTGTTTTGCGAAAGAAGACGCTTGAATTTCCAGGCTTTTGCTTGGCGCTGCATTCAGCTGGCGGCCGGGAAAGCTCTTATGCGGGTTATTTTGCTATCTAAACATTATTTTTTCTTAGAATGAATATTACTGTAATCTTTATGAGTTCCTCTAGCGATGAATTCACGCATAAATAGGAAAAGTCAAAAAAAAGATGTTTCTGTTGGTTTCCGGCGGCCATCAGTTGTGCCCCTCAAAGGGACGATCAACGTGGCGTCTCCATACAAAGCCTTTTAAATTATGAATCATATGAATCATTGCACAGACCTGATTCTTGGCAAGGCTTTTGGTACATTTATCTTCTTTCATTTCCCAGATTCTGGACTTTCTGCATGGACTGGTTTGCATTTTTATTTTTGATGGCGTGACAGTGAAAACACAGAGTAGATTGTGTTTTTGCATGGACTATATGGCTCTCCTGACCCTGTTGACAGCTAACAATGTTCAATGTAAGAGTTAGCGTAATTGAAAGGGACTTATATCGCGGCTTTAACAGGAAACACGTTTCAACTCTGTTTTCACTGACTTGGGCTCGTCATTCAGAAGCGTCGATAAGATTTGTACCCTCCTAGGGATGTGTGTGAATTATTTTAAAAGTATTATGTATTTGGTGACTTAAAATGACTGCCTTGAATAAAATGCGCCAGAGAAAACAAGTAGAAGTGTTTTTGGCCTACTTTAAATCAAAATCATTGCCACCAACTTGAATCTCTTGCAAAAGAGAAGAGCTTTTGGTCGCATACTCGCAGGGTAGATAGCAGCCTCTTGCTCTCGTATTATACAGAAGCTTGTGGACTTTTGCTTGCCTTTTTTCGTTGAAATATTTTCTATATCTCTAGAAGTTATACTTTAACCCTAGTTATACGTCACTTAACGCGAAAGGCTATTAATATTTTATGTTTCCCGCTAATGTTCCTTATATCTGGCGTCCTTTGTGTCTCTTTTCTCCCGTAAGGTCTCATTACATTGCCGCGTGGCATGCAGCCAAGATGATGGTTCCAGCCAAACAGGGACTTATAGTCAACGTTTCATCGCCAGGGGGATTAAGATATGTCCTTAACGTTCCATATGGCGTTGGAAAAGCTGCAGTAAGTCGCACAAGTGTGGGCTCTTCAAAAAGAAATCAAAGTCCATGGCTCATTTGTGCGGGCATTCAGCGAAATATTTTATTATTCATTCGAAGTATTTCGCCGTTTCTGATTGGCTCCAATCAAGTAGTACTTACCATATTTGGAAGATGCGATCAATATACCATAGATTCGATGGTATATTTTGATTGGAAACGAGGTTGATCGATGGCATATCTGATTAGAAAAGAGAATCTGCTTGGGCACAAGTGAACTATAAAAAATTGGCGTTCACGGCCAAGACGAAATAGCCGAATTTCTGACTTGAAAAAATGCCAAAATACGTAAAACAAATTGCTTGATGGATTTTATTTACTTTTTGAAGAGTATCTGCAAGATAAAACATTCTGTTTATACCCTGGAACCGTTTCGAGAAATAGGCCAAAGTTTTGGAGAAAATCTACGAGAAGTTATTAAGCAGAAATTATTTGAATGATGATAAAACAATTTTTTCATTTGGCTATCGTATGATCCGAAGAATTATGCAGATCTCGGCCTTTAGCCTCGGTGGATAACATCCACATTTTACACGGTTTATTTGCGTTCCTTTTTTTGTTGTTTTTCAGTGTGATCGAATGGCCGCAGACATGGCTGTGGAGCTGAGGGAACAGAATGTGGCCTGCATTTCGCTTTGGCCTGGAGCTGTGTTTACAGAACAAATCAAAGACCTTATCTTTAAGCCAGAAAATGAGAAGGTAATTTTGGGATTTAATACAAAAACTACTTCTACGATTCTACTGTTTACAAAAAAACGTTACAAAACGCGGAGGTATAAAATCAGCAACATAATCATAAGAAACCTACACAGGGTGTGCGAAAGGCACTTATGTCACAATCTTGTAAGTTTCAATTTTCAAAAAATGCGTTAATTTGCTAATAATCGCCCCAAATAAGTCTGAAGCTCCCTTTATCCAAAAAGCGCTTTCGTCTGAGTAGATCGAGATTAACCACGGCAATTACGTAC